AGACTCTAATCTGTGTTGGCATTGGTCATTAGGAAATAAAACTTGCTTCTAATGCTACGTTCAGACAGAACGCAGCAGAAGCAGCGGAAACACCCATGTTGCTTCATTTTTGATGCTTATTCCAGTTTAGTTCTGACGCGTGGCCGAAGCATCTTTGCTGCTCTGGCTGAGCGTTCGAAATGTAGGTCTGATGCACGTTGGATGGAGCTAAACTATCCTTTCTTTGCCTCTACCAATGGCGGCTATATTTGCGCCTAAATTGGACCAGAAGTAGAAGTTTGGGGTTTTTTTTGTAAGCCTGCAATACCTGATACTGGTCTATGGCTCTGAAAGGGGGGTGCATTCTAAGCCAAAACTAGTTTTGGGCTACTATATAAAGCTTCAAACTCGACGCTAATTCTGACTTTTTGAAGTGAAAAGGCTTCCAGGATGGGAAGCGAAATGTCTTCAAACTTGGAAACAAATCTTTTGAACTTTTTTGGTCTGAGTACAACCTGAAGAAATAAACAAACACAATAACTACGCTTTCCATAACACTGTTATCAAAGTTTTGTTTTTTTCCATCAAGTCAGTTTTTCAGTTGTTAGTAGAAATTTACATTTTCACCATAAAAATGTGATTTAAATGATGTAATCTTGACCCATTTTGCCAGAAGTTATTCAAATTCATTTTTATTCCCATTTATCTATATTGATGTTTTGGTAAGAAATAAAAATAATATAATAATAAAGAATAATATAAACTTTTTAAAATGAATCCACTGCAGCTCCCAGAGGAGGTGTTGTGCGGGCAGCAGGTCGGGTGACCCGTTTACGGAGGATTGGTTCTGGAAGTAGCCTTCGGGTTCAGTTCCAGACTCTCCGACTGTTGCTGCCTGCCTGCTATGTGACTGTTTAAAAAGGCTGCTTGTGACACAACATCTTAAAAAGGGAGGAAGAGAAGCTCTCCTGTCAGAAACTGGTCGACAGAAAAGGGAATTCTCTCACTAATGTTTTCTGAGTTTTAACAAAATGAGGTGAAACTAATGATTTTAGGAGGATGTCCTGTTTTCTTTAATTCAAAATTGAAATATTTGTTTAATCTTTTTTTATCACCCAGGTTACCTAGTTCACTTTTGTTCCTAGGGAGATTCAAAAATCAGCAATGTGTGAACTCCCCCCTTTGAATGCACTTTTCTTTTTCTTTTTTTACACACATACACCATATATAATGTGTGTGTGCATTAGTAAAAATGTTTCCTTTAAATTGTGAAGGTAACTTTCTGCTGCCAGCACAACTGTCACCATCAATTGCCCAGTCTTGTTTTAATTCCATTTGCCTGTGTCATTCTTTGCTCTTGCTTTCGGCTCTGTGGCTCCACCAAGTGCTGAGAAGGAGAAGGTTATCTCCGCGTGTAAAGTGTTCCTCCACTTCTTGCTGAAAGCACCCTGCAGTAGTTGCATGGTAATTCTGCTCTATCTTTCCTCTGCATCATGTTTACCTAGCAACAAGCATCACCCGCGGCTGGCCATTCTATTGGTCATTTGAAAACGCACGGGGGACCAATGGCAGGGCTGTTGCCATGGTACAGTGTGTAGTTGCCGGGTGGAATTTTGCTGCAAGGCACGTGAGTCTCAGAGTCTGCTTGCCTCCTCCAACTAGCGTTGTAATCTCCACTGTCTGGCCATTAGTACAGTTGAATGTGATTTAATAGAAGCCAATCAGTAAATCCGTGAAGGGAAATACTAAACTTTATTCAGTAATTGAAGAACAGCATTTTATGGAAGCATTCCCCCAAAAAGGCAGAAGCTATTGAATTTTTATTTACATTTTTTTATTTTTACTTTTCATTAAAGAAAACCAAAATAAGTAACAAATATGAAATTAGATATTTTACAGATTTAATTTTTTTTTTCACTGCTAAAGCAGAAACCTTTTGAGGATAAATAGAGCAAACTATGGATGATTTATGCTGAAGGTTTACATGGAGGAAGCCTGACGTTTGGAGGTGCCTCTGTGTTTCCATGCACCGCTCATGACAGCCTGTATGAGGGAATGTTTAACTATGCAAAACCTTTAAATCTAAGCTGGCATTTTTCTTGATCAATCCTTTGCTGTCTTTGTTTATTTGTCATTCCAGTCCTGTGGTTTGTTTGAAAGCAGTTTCTGAATCAGAGACTGAAGTTACCTTTCGGGGGGGAAACCCTCTGTAGTTTCCTGTGAATACCCTCTCATCAGTAACATACACACAAACAGAACAAATTAGAAAGTACTCAGAGAGCGCAGATACCCACCAAGCAGCTAGTTTTTACTATCTGACAATAGTAAACCCCTGTGGTAAACATTTCAGAGAAACCTTTCATGACTATTTTTGTAATCTTGCTATTCTACAAATCAAACAATCAGCTTACCTCCTTGGTAGAGGTAAGACAATAATGCTACGTTCAGACCGCACGCAGCAGAAGCAGCAAAAAGGTGTGTGCTGCTTCATTTTTTATGTTTGTACAAGTTTAGTTCTGACGCGCGGCTGAACTAGCTACATGGTCAAAAAGTGGTTCTGATGCGCGTTGGGCAGAGCTACCCTATCCTTCCACCACTTCCTGCATACATCCTCTAAATAAACACATTTATTGAGCAGCAGTAGATCGGCAGTGTTATGTTTACCATCGTAGAGGCCTGGCTAAGTTACCAGAGAGCCAGAATTCCTCGTTAATCCTCCTCCAGTCAGGGTCCTTCCTGCTCCTGTCTCTACACTGATAACAGAAATAACCCAATGAGAGCAAACAGCGATGATCAATCTCTCTTCTATTGTTGAAGAATTCCCGGGTTTTCTCGGTCTTTCCCTCCCGTCTGAAAAAACAGCAACGTAGTGAGGCGGAGCTTCTCTCTGATTGGTTGATGTGGCGTATCGAGCAGAAAAACTTAAATTTTTCCAACTCCAGCAGCTGATGCTTTGCAGTGCATTGCGTGTCAGATGCTCAGAAGCTCGTGAGGTGCTGCTTCGGCTGCTCACAGCGCTCTGCAAGACCTTTTGATGCGTCTTGAGCCGCGGCAACCATAGACTTTGCATGTAAGCTAGCTGCTTCTGCAGCGTGCGGTCTGAACGTAGCATTAGTGTCTGATGTGTTTGGTTTATGTAGTGGGAAGTTGGATTATTCAAATGCCTCTTCTCATTCAAACAAGTTGACTAGGAGTGGACCTGACCTCTATTTTCATTAACCAGCTAGTGTCCTGAAGAATGTCATTCTAATGGACAAAAGAAGTTTAATAATATACTTTAAAAAGAAAAAAAGAAATTTCTTATGAAGTCTAAACCACATCCGTCCTCTTAAATTATTCACTTTAACGTCTCTGATATACCCCCCCATAAAAATAGACTTTCTAAAAACTATCAGTTGCTTGCAGTGAATTAGTCTTAGTTTAAGAACTACTTTTTATTGGTTGTGAAAAATAAAATTATTCAAAAAAGTTTTCTATCTTTACAGATTTTATTCCCAGGGATGCTTGTATCTGGTTTTAATTGTATTTACTGATAAACCACAGATCTCTTAACCTTTTTAATTTTTTTGTTCTTGTTCTTTGAACACCAGACTTTCCATTGTATAGTTTAATGATGTATAGTAACATACTTCTCCTTTATGTTTAACTTAATGTTAAAAAAATATACATGTGGCATTTCTATACCCCAGCTAAAACATTTACATTAATCTTTAACAGTTAAAATAAACACTTAGTAGGTGGATCTTTACAGCCAGCTCTTTAATGGCTCAGCAGTTATACGCAGTATTTTCAGTAAAGTTCCATAAACTGGCTTATTATTACAGTAAGTAATATATTACTGTGAAAAAATATAAATGTGGCATTAAACTAAATATTTCTATGCCACAGCTAAAAAATTACAATCCTTTTTAACAGTTAAACCCTTATTAGCAGGATGTAAACAGCCTGCTCTTTATTGGCTCAGCAGTCATATGCAGTATTTTCAGTAAAGTTCCATAAATTGACTTTCCTTATTATTCCATGAACATAAATAGCCTGGATATTAGGTGGCAGGTGTTTGTTGGCGGGTGCAGGCTGAGCTGCAGTCCAGGGTGAGTTTAGCTCTAGGCGGCTGTCAGCTGGTTGATGACACCGCTGAGCTGTTCCCAGGCAGCATTGGGCCTGATTTAGATGGAGAGCTCGGATAGCAACAGTAACATCTAGCTTTGGCTGGTTGGTGAGGAGAAGTCAAACATCTGAGCTGTAGAGTCACTAAAGAGGAGCCCCCCCTCCGTCTCCATTTCTACCTGATATCTTCAAACTATTTCCGCGTCGCTCCTGACTCGCGCCGTTAAAGCAGACATGGGGGAAACTGAGCTGAGAGCTCCGCCCACAGACCTGGTCATCACCCAATCACAGTGAGGGACGGGACTTTCCGCAGCCAATAGGGTGGGAGTTGCCTTGGCGCCGGGTAGCAACAGGGCCGAGGGAGGATGCGTGGTGATTGAAGGTAGAGGCTGTATCTAACCGAGTACAGGGAAGTTCAATGTCCTCTGAACAAAGTGAAACATTGTCACATGCGCGCTTTCTTTTGTTGTCCGTTTTGCCTCACATTGTTCCTTTTGAATTGGAAAAACATTTAAAAAACTGTCTCAGGTGTCTGACTTATGGGGGAGTTTGACACAGCAGAGACCACAACAAACCTTTCATCCAAAACTTTAAAATATATTTTCTCTCTTTTCCCAGAGATTGCAGGAAAAGTCTAAATTCAGACCTAATCAGCCTAACGTCTAACTGTCCTCTTCCCAGATTGCTGGTTGTTGAGCGTGAGGAGGACAGAGCTCCTACATGCTTGTATATAAAGTTCCAGTATATTTATCCCGCTGTTACTATAAATGGAGAGAACGGGAGAGGTTTGCTTGGAGCGGACTACCGCAGCCAGAGGGGCCCATACCTCCCGTTAGCTGCGCTCATGATGCCGCTCTATTTCTCCGCGGTTACATTTTACTTGTTTTTAGTTTAATCATGTCTGTTCATCGTCTAACGTGTCATTCCTCCGCCTGCTTATCGGGATGTCATGACTTCCCCAAACGCTGCTTCATCTGACGGCGCTCCGACCCCCACTGCGGGGGAGTGGTACGGTCCCTTTGCAGGGTGGGGGAGCCGGATGGCAGAGCAGCACAGATTCCGTCTACGGCGGAGCAGGGTATGGGAAACGGGCGAGAAGCATGACTCCTGACCGCCCTGTGATGGTTTCCACCCGGAGGGAATAAAGTGACCGCCTCCGGATCGGAGGAGCTTCATCCCGGAGCAGCGAGCTCAGGAAGTCTGGATTTGGTTTCTTTTGTTTCCCTGAAGGCAGCTCTGCAGTTTCTGCGTGGATTAACGTGCTGATGATTACCTCAGATCGTGACTTTGTTTGATGTTCGGCTGATTTTTGAAAACTGCGGCGGAGTTTGGGGCTCGGCTCATCCCAGCAGACTCTGCTGGGCTTCCACACCCAGGAACTGGACTATCGCGAGCGGCAGACTGTTTTTTTCACGAGGTTCGTGACCGTGGAAGCGAGGGGAACTCTTTCCACGCTGGTAGCAACAACTTTCATCGGATTGGGTTTTGTTTACATGGGTTTATGCAAGCGTCGCTCACAGAGAACATCCGGGGAGCGCTTCAGCAGCGGGGTTTGTGCTCCCGGCGCAGGGTTTGAATGTGTGAATGAAAGCTAAGTGAGTGGACACCCACCCACACACCCACACGGAGCTTCGTGGATTCATTTGGGTCTTCGGATTAATCCAAGCAAGCAGTCTCCCAGAAAGTCCCAGTATCAGAGCTATTTTTAGTGTTAGGGATGGGGTAAAAGCAGGCAGCAGGAAATCTGACTCCCCCCTTACCCTTTTCTTTTCCAAAAGCTATTGCACTTGCCCACTCAGCCCGTTTGGCAAAATGCAGGGCAAGCCTGGATAGCACCAACACAACCTAGAGCTAAAGAACCTAGAATCTTCAAAGAGGAGTAAAAAAAGATTGATCCCATCTGGTCTTTTTTTCATTTTTTTTCTGGAAACCATACTGACCATGTAGCCTTAGAAATTCAAAGGATCTTCTCCTTTAGGCTCAGTGGACTCAGTAAACCTGCTCTGGATTGGGAATCTACCCTGGACTGAGTGAACATATCAGCAACTAGAATCTATGCCTTTATTTATTGTTTGGTCAAACTTTTACCACCCTAAAAAGGTTGCTTTTTTATTCTTTTGACTATCTAAAAGATAAGACACCAGCGACATGGAAGCTCCCACCCACAGACAGAATGCATGAAACTGCCAAGTTCACCACAAAAAGCTAAACTTACAAGCCAAATATTTTATTTCCCTATAGTTCCCAAATCCACAGAGAAACAATATATATGTAGAGTGAGAGATCTATATCTATAGTGTAAATCCACATAAAACAGAGATTACATCTTTTATATTTTTACTTCAGAGAGACAAGCTGCCTGTACACCTGTTGGTTGCCTTAGAAAGACGTCACACACAAACTGGGAGAGGGAGAAAGAGAAGAAGGTGCCTTTGGACTGGTCGGATCGTTTCCCACCGTTTCAGACTTGAAATGTTTAGTTGGATGTAAAGTGTTGAAGTGAACTCTGGGCTTGGAAACCTTCCTCCACCCCACACCCCCCACAAGCTCTGCCCCTCCGTCAGAGCATTTCCATTGACACTATTTCTCATCTGGACCGAACCTTTGCCAAGCTCTCCCATGGTTGTCACGTCATCATCAGTGGACGACAAGACTGTACCTTCTTGCAGGATGGTCCAATCGGAGCCTTGGATCACTTCAGCTCTGCTTCGTAAAAACAAAAGTTAGTACACACACAAGTCGCACAAACACCATGTTGGCTTTTGTCTCCTTCGGTCTCGGTTCTGTGCTGCTCTGCTGCCATCTTTAAATCCGCCCGGTGTGTGAATGTTGCAGTGGAAGTGGGCTGCTAGCTAAGGCTGGGCAGTGTTAATGTATGGTGGTCTGTGTTTGACAGGGCTGTGGTGGGTGGACTGACCTGGATCCAATCACAACAGCTTTGCTGTACCTGGTTTGTATCTGAGAGAGATAGAGAGGCTCTTTTTCTGATTGGTTCCCATTTTGAATATCAGACTTCCTTTAAAATCCATGTTCATATCAACACAAAAGAGACTTAGAGTGGTGTAAAGCTACTATCCACATACTCCTCATCTCTATGGAAATTATACATGAAAACACTTTGATGTTGTACCATGCTGACTGAATGGTCATTGGTGAACCACAGCCCAAAAGTTGATTGTTTTTCCTGCTGCATTTATCGCCTCTTTTCACAAAGTATTTAAAAAAAGAATATTTGGTCCTTTTCAATACAAGTACTCAATACACGTTAATTTTCCTCCCTCCCTACACTGTATTGTTACACGGTGTTATAAGTAATAATAAATTGAACTTTATTGATTTCACCATGGAGAAATGATCTCCCTGCATTTAACCCATCCCCTTGGGAAGCAGTGGGCTGCCACTGTGCGGCGCTCGGGGAGTAATCATGGGTTAAGGGTCTTTGCTTAAGGACCCAGAGTGGCAGTCTGTGGGAGTGGGTTTCAAACTCACAAGGATTCCAAGCCCTATGCCCTAACCACTAGGCCGCCAATCCCCCTTATTATTAAACTATTTAATAATATTTTCCCATTGATGCGACTTTGACCAAATATCCAATTGCAGTGTTGGCCTGATTAGTAAAACTAGGCAGGAATAAATAACCGTTTATGCAACAGTTTCTGAAAACCATATGCTGTTTGTTTTGTCATGTGACCATAATGTTTAAGCAGTACAGTACTGTGGTTCTTTAGTGAAGCATTTGCTCTTTAACATTGCTGAAATGGCAGGGAGATATAACATATGGGTAGAAGTTAGTAATGATATCAGAATCGGCTTCTTTTGTCCCAGCGGTGCTTCCTAAGGTTACATTCTTTTATTTAAGAAATATAATTTATTGAAATGTTGAGCTGCTTGGTTAACGCTTAAATTATATAGGGATAAGTTGTGCTAATTTGTTTTTTCTTTCTGAACATTTATCTGCAAAATGAAGCAAAGAGCAACAAAAAAAAAAGACAGTGTTGACGCACAGTTATGTTTTTTTCTGTTTGCATCATTTGGTTTAGAGTGACAGACAGTAAGAACAGAACCTTCAGGGCCCATCAGCTGTGATCTGCTCCTCTCAGGTCGGCAATATTTTTCACACTTTGGTCTGCTTTCTGATACGGCTGAACTTCTTTTCAGTGGGTTTATTTCAATGAACATATATTTCTAAAATAAAACTGAATATCATGATCAGAAATCCACCAACCTCAGGATTGAGGTTGTATTCTGAATGAGAGCGGTTCACACCTGAACTGCTGTAAGCAGTAGCTGGAATCTAAATGAAGGAATAATCAGAGAAGGTGGCAGTGTGATGCATTCTGGGAAATGCCAGGACAGATTGGGAAGCCGTGGAGCGGTATCGCCAAAGAGTACGAGCCAGAGGATGATTGAGGGAAAGCTAACTATAAAATGCTAGCTTGCTACAGTGGGTTTATATACATTAGGCCGTAGCATTCAACCATTGGGCAGGTAGATGTTATCATGATGTCTGTGCTGTGACTAGTGATGTCATCCCTGACCCAATCCGTGCCTTTATTGAGCCGAATCTTTCCTGCATAAGCCTCCATTCAGTTTGATTCAGTTTATTGAAACCGTGTTTGCCCTTTTCTCTTCTTTTTGTTTGCATGTTTTTCACATTTAAGTCCTTCTAAATATCAGGCAATTTAATTATTAGTCAAGAATAATGGAAGTGTCACAGTCTTGGTTCTGTTATGTTTTCTTTTGAGTATTTAGTTTTACTTTGATCAATGTTTTCTGGTTTTATTGGTTTGATTCCTATTTTGTTGTGTTTTCTGGTTATATTTCAGTTCTTAGGTTTTTATTTGTTGCCCTCTTGTGTTGGTCTCCTTTTTCCCTAGCTCCTTTCTAGACTGCTCTCCTCACACCTGCTCCCAATCAGCTCGTTACTCCTCTCTTTGTTCATCTCCCATAAATACTCTCTTTTTGCAGTTCCTCAGTGCTGGTTCCTTGTCATACCTCGTCTTACTTTGTTATTGTTTTCCCCTGATGTCTCCATGGTTCTGGTTGGTTTTACTTTTTCATGTTGGATTTTTGGATTCCTGCCTCAGTTGTTTTTGAACCTCTTTTAAATCTACTAAAAACTCACCTCTGCCTACCTGCCTCTGCATTTGGGTCCTCAAACCTTTTAAATTAAGTTATTAAATTAAGTTTTATTAGAAACAAAATCAAACCAATGGGGCAATGGCTTTGTCACACCCTGTCTAACAAAGCCATTGCCCCTTAATTTTGACTTTTACCAAAATTTTCCTGGACAATAAATTATCAGAGAAATTATCACGATAAATGATAATATTGTTGTTTAGACACAAATTTTCATTAGTATAATGTGAATGGGAAAAAAAATCAAACAGCCCTTTTGCTTGTTTATTTCGTGTGTCAGTTACATCATCAATGGAACGATGTTTGTCAGGAAGATAAACTGGTCAGTTGTCTTTTTTTAAATTTTCTTCCCAGCTCAGAAAATGTATTGAATTATCACGTTTTAGGTGCAGATGCATGTTTGTTGTATTGCAGCCTTCAGCTCCCACTATTTAATAACAAATTAGATATACCAACTCCAAAAGATTAAATGTTTAACCAGTCAGTCTCTCACATCCAAAGGGCTCCCGCACACCAGCTCTCACGTTCGCCTCTGGAACCAATTCAATATCTTTTCTTCCAAATCTCAACTACGGTTTCTTATGCATGCAATGGTGCTCTCTACACTCTTAGGTACTGATAGGGAATGTGTATTGGAAGCACCTGGGCCACGAGTTCACTCCTTGCTACAGTAAAGAAATTAGAAGGGGAGGGGGGAGTGGGGAACAATACACTGGAAGCAAACCTTTTGTCTTCCAGTCTCTTTGGTAAAAGAAAACAAGAAACAAGAACAACATACTAAAAAGCATGCTAGCATACATTTTTGAGCATTTATTAGTTATTCGCTAATAAATTGATTACTGTGACATGCCTCCCCATTCATCTTTGCAGAATTGTTATAATTTAGTGACATTGGGGTCTGCAGAAAACCCAGCTGATCTTATCAAGTCATTTTGTTGCAGCATTCACTTCTCCTGGTTGAGCATAGATGGCTGCTGAACAGCAAACTGGCATTATGTCGTAGAATTTGCAGCACCCCTCACACCCAGCATGCATGCAGCGATAGTAGAGAGGAAAACTCTTTTTTTTTACAGAAAGAAATCTCCAGCAGAGCCAGGCTCAGTGTAAGCAGGTTTATCCCAAAACCGACTTGGAGTTGAAGACCCACAAAACAAACACTGCAGCATTGACTTGCCAGAACTTTATTTGGAAGAAAAGTTGGTGGGAGTAGACGTTCCCTTTAGTGCTTTCATTTAGGAGCCAAGCAGATCAGCTCTGAGACTGTTGAAGTCTAGAAGATGAAACTCTGCCTCAGCAGATGGCCGCTCACACTGAGCCTGGTTCTGCTGGATGTTTTCTCCTGTTCAAAGGGAGTTTTTCCTCTCCACTGTCGCTACAAGCATGCTTAGTGTGAGGGATTGCTGAAGAGTCAATGAGTTGATGCAATCAACTGGATTTACTTAGAAAACTTCTAAGTAAATTTGACTGTATGATCTGTAAAGAGCCTTGAGATGACATGTGTTGTGAATTGGCGCTATAGATATAAACTACATTGAACTGAAAGAGAAACACTTAGAGGATACGGAACACCAATTGCGGCAAAATAATTGGAGGACACACTTTCATAACAAAATTGACACTTTTACAAGATTTGACTTGGACAATGTTTATTGTCATTTTATATACAGAGTAGGGGTGGAACGGTTCACAAAATCCACGGTTCGGTTCAATTCACGGTTTCGTGGTCACGGTTTTCGGTTCGATTCGGTATATGTTGATTGTTACGCCGAAATCCCATCCCTAATACAGAGAGATATTAAACATTCTCAGTAGAAAAAATATGTGCATAAAAGTGTAGTATATGGTTTGTACATAAAGTGTAGCTAGTTCCATGAGATGGCCTCTTTGATGTCATCCATTCAGAAACATCTAGTTAGTATCACCATAGCTCAGTTTATAGCCTGCCCCCAGGAAAATGTCTCAGAATGACACACCAGATAGAACTACCGCAGAGAAAACACACAGTTAAAAGAGGAAATAACGTACATTATGCAGAATTGAAGAGTAGTAGAAGGTAGGAGCATGAGGAAAATGGTCTCTATGTCTTCCAGCAGCCTTAGCCTTTAGCAGTAAAACTACAGAAATGAGTGAAGATAACCTAAGGTACTCTGAGCTTTATCAGAAAGGAATGTTAAAAGCACACATGGTCTGCTTCATGGACTTAAACAGAGAGCTAGATCCAAACGAGAGTAGTCTGATAACTAAAAGATCTGCCTCGCAAAAAGTTATTAACCTATTTTAACTCTTGTACTTACTTATGGTGCACCTCCGGATCACTATTAGGATTCTCAAATTTTTTTCTGTGAGTACAGATATTAAGGTGAAACAATTTGTCGGGGTTTTCTAGTTTTTTCAGCAAAAACAGCGAAGAGAGATTAGTAGACAAGGATGTATGTGTGAACACGTAATAAGAGACAGCAGTTAGCTTAGTGAAGCTTGGCAAACATTTTAGGGCTGCAACTGACGATTACTTTGCAAATAAATTAATCTGTTCATTATTTTTGATCGACTGATTATCAGTTAATCAAAGGTTCCTTAAAGAAT